GATAAGTTTTATTGTTACGGATATTCTTGATCTGGAGCAGAATAACACTTAGCTAGCCGTTGCTGGACTGTATAAATATACTATATGAACTTCTTCTGTAAATGTTACTTCTTCTTTATTTCCAATTTTGAGGTCCAGAGAGCTTACAAATTGTCACTCAACCGGCCTTTCTTACATTTCTTGGAGTGGATCGCATTTAGCTATTTTCATAAGCAGTTCATAATCAAATTACACGTTCTTCCCCTACTTAGTGAAGCCATCACCCACTCTTAACATCTATGAGTTCCTAGCAATCTTAACTTATCTTAACTCTGTCGTGCACCCCACCGATTACTGGAAGTAACATAGGTAATACGCGTTCGACATAGGCTATAATTCACGCAGGCAAAGACGCGGGGAATTATCTAGTTTGATAGAAATTGGTTCAAAATTCAAGAAGAAATCGATTAACATACTTTCATAAAAATATACATACACCTTGAACACAGAAAATCCTAATTTCGGATTTTGAATGAATACAATATCTTTTGTCTTTTAGCTGAAATACATGAAATAGGTACGATACACATCGTCTACATACGAGTATTTAGGTGATATAGTACCTATGACGAAAAGCGCATTTTGTTTTGCTATAAAATGAAAACTACTGATTCGATTTCGATAAAATTTAAATGGGATAAGCAGAGTCCATTAAGCTGTCGATTAAAATTTTTGAAGATTGGTCAACAATTGGCGGAATTATCGGTGAACATACATAAAAAACATACATCGCCGTCGAACATATAACCTCCTCCTTAAGGATTTTGAAGTTGGCAAATAAAGGTGAAGTAGGCGAAAGATGTAAGTAAGGATCGTGCCTTGTGGCACTTGGTTCTCTCTGCCCACCCACCGGCGTGAATATATAGATAGATAAACTCATGATGTTAAACATAAACAAATCACTAGTCATTGAAATATTATTTATTTACGGTTGGCCAAGATTTAATTAAATTTTGATGCATACGATTAAAATTGATCACTATTATGGATGATTTTTCGTTGAAAGACAATAAAGAAAATTTGCGGCTTCTAAGATTTCACTTATCTGACGATGAAGAAACTTTTTGCCCACACTATATACCCATCCCAATAAACTGATGATAATTACTGAATGAGTGTTGATTAATTCAATAAAATATATTTTATATACAGTTGGTGCGCCTATCGATGTGCCTCAAGTGTTGGACCCGACACGTGAGCAAATAGATGAAATACATGAGAAGTTCGTGCAAGCCATCACGGACCTGTTTCATGAACACAAACACAAATATGAATCTGATCCCAATATTAGACTTAATATATATTAAACTTTTTATCGAAAATAATAATGATTTTTTAAAATGTCTAATGATATCATATTTTTTAATTCTATTACATTTTGTTGTATACCCTATAAATAGATATCGTACTTCAAAAAGAAAAGCAAACTCTAGGACAGACACTCGTACGTCTGTATACTTATCTGGACGTGGAAAATGTTTTTAAATAAGGTCACATAAGAAAAATCTTTTTAAATTGTACAACGTGAGAAATAAAATGTTTGTTGTGAGATTGGTATATTTCTTTTAGAATTTAAAGAAAAATAACATACTAATGTTAAAGTTCTTTACGATTAAGTGAAAATCGACCATTTTCCTTTCGCCATCTCCGACACTTTACCGATTAATTAAAGGTTTTCCATAAAAACTTTTTATTAACATATCGGAAAAAATAAAACCGATCGTAAGCTTTCCTCGAAAACGATGACAAAAAATTTGAGTTATAACAAAACATTGTATGGTGGAATTGTGGCTTTAATAGATCTACAAAAAACTTAAAACAGTAAAGTATAACTTTACGGGTTATTTACTAACCTTTTTTAACAATACAGAGTATTGATCCTTATTCAAATAAATAAATTATATACGTTGTGCATGTAATGTAGATCAAAATTACCTTTTACACTATATCAAAAATATTCATAACTAATGAGTTATCGAAAAAAAAAATCTCCGGGAGAGCTATTAAATATCGATGAATAAAAATGAATCGCCGAAACGTATGTACGCGCATAACTTATGAATTCCAGTTCCGACTGCACCAAATTGGATGATTCTATTTTTTATGTGTTCCACGATTCATGACACGGTTAGTATATACGTGGTATATACATAAGATTAAATAAAACCGGGTATAAGGCCGTACGAAGTTCGCCGGGTCAGCTAGTTGTAATATAATAAGTTGATTTCGGATAGGTATTAAAATAAAGGTTAATAAAAACAAAAAAAGACATTTATTCAACACAAAAGAAGAGAATATGCTTAACACTTAATACTCTATTGTATAACTTGAATTCTTTACATAATTTCTATCAGTCCCATATAACATTCGTTAGTTATTTATAACGTATTACATTAGTTTATTTAGTTTTAATTATAGTATCATTGCCTTATTTAATTGATTTCTAAAGCTATACAAACTCAAATATTTTATGAAGAAAATTATAACAGTATTTATTGATAAATGGTACAAAGTATGAAAAATGGTATAATATTCATACCATAATAAAAACTGTAAAAATTATCGTTGTTTATTAATTTGATGACCTGAACACATCTCCACACTCATTACAAATAAATAAATGAATGAATTATTAAAGTAATAAATAAAATGTTTATATTATAAAAATACTTTAAAAAAGCATGCAAAAATAATAATTTATAAAAATTTATATGATAATAATTATTGTTTAATTCCAGAATGCCGGATCCGTAACTCATTGATCTGTTTTTATGATAAAGCTTTTATTTATTTTGCATACAAGTTTAGTTTATATGACAAACAATGCATGGTTAGTTAAATCGATGTTTTTTATCCGACTATGTCGAAGCGAAAAGGAGGAATTTAAATTATTATATTTGTAGATTTCATTGACTTTTGTCATATATTTTAAATATTATGAAGGTTTTATTTGTTATGCCGTTGGTGTGCCTATTTATACCTCGTGTGTTCATAAGTTTTGGGACAAAGTTTTTGCTGAAAAATAAATTAAAATGTTACTGGCTGTTATTTTATTTTACCGATTTTGAATTTGGAATGTTAACTTTTAACTTCTAAGGAACGGGAAATGTTAAATTAAGGGAACGAAACAATTACATGCAACTGTCATGTTGCTGTTTAAAGTGGGAAAAAATCCAATTCAGATTTTCCGCGAGCTGAAAAGTTTTCTTGTAAGCCGTTACTTCGTCTATTACACAATACTGCGGTACAACGAGACGAATTCTCTACCAGATCGCCAAAAGAGTGGTCGGCCACGCTCTGTGAGGACGCCTGCGAACATCAAAATCATCCGAGAGCTACTTCCATCCATGTCACACTCAGAAGAAACTCGCTCTGCAGACTATAATATTTCGCGCGTTTCAGTGAACAATACTGAAATATGATCTTAAGGTAAAGGCCTATAGCCGTAAAAAAGGAAGGCTGCTGAGGAGACATGATGCCAGGAAGTCTTCAGGAACTCTTCACCGACGAGAAATTTTTTACTGTCGAACGCTAAGTGTACGCTAAAAGTAGCAAGGATGTCCCAGCTTCTGCACGGAATGTCTCGCGCATTCATCATCCGACTAGTGTGATGGTATGGTGGGAGATTTGTATGAAGGTGTCCGCTCCATTTCTGCCAACAAAGTGTCAAGGCTAAAGCCAAGAATTATCAGAGTGACATTTTGGAGCCAGTGGTGACATCCTGTCTGATACGTTATTTCACAATAAGGATTGGGTTTTTGAGCAAGACTCGGCGCCATCCCATAAGGTAAAAAGCACCCAAGCTTGGGTGAGGGAGAATGTGCCGGCCTTCATCGCAGCGGACGTGTGGCCCTCCTCCAGCCCGGACCTCAACCCGCTGGATTATTTATTATTTGTGGGCTGAATTAGACCTCAGGGCCTGCGGAAAGTCCCACCCAAACTTGGAGTCACTAAAGCGAACCCTTGTTCGAGAAGCAAAGCGAATTTCGCTAGAAAAGATTCGTGCCGCCATTGATGACTGGCTAAATCGTCTAAGGGCCTGAATTAAAAACCAGGGCGGCCGTGAATAAAATATATATTTTATTATTGATTATTCTATTATTGTTGATTATCTATTAAATTGTACTGAAATTGTTTGAATTATAAGTTAATTATTAAAAAAGTTACGCAACTCTTATTTCGTCTCAAAACTTATGTACCTACACACGAGGTAAATAAATAAAAGCAGTCCCAAGATGGTGACCTAGTTATTTGTTAGTGTACTGTCATAATATGGACACCTGTCAAATTAAAAGGTTGAGGCACGTTAAGGTTAAATGTTTATTAAGGCTAAGAAAAACGGGAAAAAAATATGGCGGGCCAAACAATATGGCAGTCTATTCTCTTTAAGTCCTCTTCTCCTTTTATTAAGGGTTTCAAATATAACAGTCCGCTCAGATTCATTGAATAAATTAATTCTAAATTCAACAATGGTGTACCACTCAATATGACGGATCAATTACGCTTTAAGTACTTTATTGTTATGGGTATCAAATAAAAGGGTTTTTGCGGAAAAGATTACTATAAAAATTATTAAAAATAAAAAAAATATTTACTTTAGTTTGAACACACATTTACATATATATTCACCTTCTAACTAATAGAAATGGATATAAAATATAGGAATCGGTTATTAGTGATGTACTAGTGAATTCCTTGATTCCATAATTGTTAAGTTGTAACGATTATAAAAATTAACTAATACATAGGTGAGTTCAGATACTAATGTTTGTATATGCTTTGCTTTAGGTGATTAATATGACGATCAAATTTTCAAATTCTTCAGAAAAAAAAAGATTTTCATCAGTTTTTTACTTACGTATTTTTATATTAAAAGTACAAATTCGTACAACCTTCTCATGTGTAGAGACATAGTTTGTAAATGTGAATGGTTGGCAATATTGCATTATAACAGTACAAGTTTCTTTTGATAGATAATGTTGGGTTTTTAGACAATAGTGCTGGGTAATGTTGTAAATTTTTATGCAGGGTGATAACCAGTCACACTTTTCATTCGCTCATGACATGAGTCACAACCTTCTTTGTCTATTAAAAAATAATCATAACCGAGTATACTACAAAACAAACTGAGGATACAAATTGCCGTGCGTTTACACTACAACAAATATCTTTCAATAATGAACATATACCTATTAAAGTTTATATAATCGGTATCGAAACTTGGTATCTTGTTTTGCGTAAAACACAAGTTCTGAACACAGATATTAAGAACGCGTTTTTTCGTAAACATCCCGTCAGTCTCTACAATCGCAAAACAAACGCAAACGCACAGTTATAAGTTTTTTTGTGTCTTATAATATATCCAAGTGAACTTTTTCGTAATCTTTCAGATATTTAGACTTTTCAGACTCGAATAAGGCAACTAGCCTTTTCGTAAATTCTGCATGAACCTTATCCACTTCCTCCGGAGTTGGCTCTAAATTCTTCACGACTTCCATAGGAGCTCCAACTAGAAAAACAGAACAGTGATATTTGATTGTTTTAAGAAAAAAAATATATATAGAAAAACTTTAATACACAAAAATCAATTAACCTGTCTAACGACAAAATATTTTAAAACCGAGGAGCTCGATGCCATGGGTAACAGCATAGTTTAGCAACTTTCGTCGTCAATTAGATACCAATGAGGACTTTAGGTGTGCGTCTGGCAATTGACTGATATTTTTTTAAAGAAATTCGTTCGTGTTTAACGCTCGCGTATTACTAGTCGGCTTTAAGTACCGTAATGTAAGAAGGGCTTTAAGACTTTTTTAAAGTCAATTTGCACTGACCGACAGTGGTGATCGGTGATCGAAGAGGCACCACGCCAAAAGTGTACTGGAACATGCCCCGGCCGATGGGAAACATAGGCGAGATGCCCGTGTATTTCTTCACGAACTCTTGGAACCGACGGAGCCAACTGTCTTGAGGGTTGGCCATTGGACGGAACACGTCCGGCTCGCCGAATGTGAACACTGGAACTAGGGGCGCCCTGAATGTGAGAAAATCCGTTGTTAAACTCATATTGCTCATATCTATTAAGTTTATAAAACTTGACGAGAGAATTTCAAAGTAGAAATGGTCACTTAACTATAGGTAAAATTGTTCGGTTAATACTATTTATGGAATAAAAGCATAAATTACATAATTACTATCCATTAATTACGTGACTTCCTCCTCTCCCTCTTAATACTACCCCCTCAGTCAGGGTGAAGCTTAATACTACCCCCCCCCCTCCACCCAAATCACGTGTAGTTTACTCTTTGACGCCGCTTTTCGGGTCGGTTTAGTAATCGCGCGTTTGAGGACAAAATAAATACACGTGATATTTCTTGTTTTTTGACGAACCTCCTCCCCCCTCCGTTCGAGCCTCACGTGAATAATGGACGGCCCCTATGATATTAGATTTATGCTTACCCAGCCATCATAGCGGTTCGCACGAATCCCTTCCTTCTGCTCAATAACAATTTGTATTCACCAGGATGGGAGTCTAAGGCTTCAGCAGCTCCGCCCACAATTAAAGCTACGCATTTTCCTTTATATTTTTTCAAGTTCAATAAATGTAGCAGACTTTCTTGAGATGAAGAACATGCTCCTAAAGCTAATATCAAATCTCTAAAGAATGGTATGAGGAAATGACCTGTAAGAGTAATCATATTACAAGTCATCCCTGGGAATAGTTGATAAAAATTGGCTGCGTTAGTGGCGAAAGCACCGAATGCTCCGGAACTGACGACGCCGTGGGGGAAACAAGCGAACAGGTAGTTTCTGGATGGATCTAGATCGGTCGTTTTGACGAGCTTCAACGGGAAGTAATCCCGGTAGTATCGCCACCACGCCCAGTTCCGGACCCAATCGAATCTGGAATTGTGTTTTTAAATTGAATGAATAAGTTTCGAGATAAGGAAAGAAAGTTGACAAAATAACTTTTTTTCTTTAAATATTTTGTACAATTCTATTATTACTTACGACGAATATTTATAGAAGGTTGAAGTTTTTTAATCTATGTTATAGTAGGTACATACTTGTGTTTAAAAATTAGGTGAATATTAAATGGAGTGTTTATAAAAAACACATTTTAATTAACGCCCAAGTAAATATCCACGATTTGATTCAAGAAGTCAATTGTAATTAATGTTGAAATGATTTTAAATTTTGTATTCTTTTTATATATAAAAGAATCGTGGACCCGGTTAGATAATACTATCAAATCGTGGTCAAATCCATACCTATCTACAGTAACGTCTGAGCACATTACTATAGGTAGGGTTTACTCTTCGGACGGTTTATGGTCAAGTGCTGGCCGTTAATATTTTAAATTATTACTTTTTCTTATTCGAATTCGCGTGTTCGTGTTTTGCTGGAGAATAGTCTTTTTCTGATCGAGACCAGCTTAGGGTGAGCATCGTAGTATAATTATTGTAAGTGATTAAATGTAATTCTTATCAGAAATAAATCAAGACTAAGCAGTTCTACCAGTTTTTTCATTGCGCCACCCACCTCCACCATTAGACTAAGTTGCCAGAAGTCGCCATACTACCTAGGTATATTAATTTTAACTGTTGCTTCAGATATTACTTTTGCTTCAGAAACTTTCATGTTAACTTTTTCAGAAAATCTGTCACTTTATGAACTTAATCTTTGTAGATAACGATTTTTTTCAATTAAATAATTTCAAAAATTTTGATGCTTTACCGCGTTTATTTAAAATAAAAAACATTTTAAAGATATTTTGGATCCTTTACAGAAATCTAAAATAAAACTGTGTTTTTTTTTAAGTTTAATATTTGGAGGTAACTTTAAATGAGCAAGGCGGACTTGTTCTTTGGCGTTTCTTTAGTAAATGATTGACTCTACACAACTTTAATGGATGGTCAAAATCTTTTAATTTGCTTTCAGCCAGTTGCACAAACGTTCATTAAAAATTTTATTAGGTTATAGCGACATTACCCATATAAATTTGACAGTCATTAGAACTTAAAAGCGTCATTAAACCTTAATGGACGTTTGTGCAACTGACCGTGAGACTATAAATAGTTGCAAATTATCAGCTTATACAAGACTAGTAAAATTAACATTATCTGTAGAGATGCTGATCAATTGAAGAATTTTAAGATTTTATTGATTTACAGGTAAAGTCGTTCATGGGCTGGTTTTGAGGTACTATCTCTGAGATTAATTCACTGTTTTAATTTTTTTACGCTCGATATAATGAATGCTTGATTAACAACACTTACTTTCGCCCTCCTTTGTGACAAATCTCTATGTCATTTAGCATCCACGCAGCGTAGAGTATCCCCAAATACCAATATTGGGAGTATAGCAGCTGAATCGCCAAGAATATCGAGAAACCTTCACCGAAGAGTACCAGACAGATCCAGGCAGTGGCGGCGAGGGTCTGCAGCCGTCTCTCCATTGGAATGTCGACAGGTGCCCATTGTACTCCAAGTGCATCTGATACTTTTCTGAAATTAGAATATAATAAAGGAGTTATTTATTGGGTTTCTATCTCCTCCCAACCTTCATGATTTCGGAATTTCAGATTTTTTTTAAAATGATTAGTTGATAGTAGTTTATGGAACTACTAGGACTTTTTGCCATGTGAAATCAGTTGCTAGCCGTATCAATGGTCGGTTTGTATACGAGATAAGTACCTATAATTATAGGTATACGAAAAGGTCATAACTTTAACTGATATTCTGACAAATAAACAAGAATTTGATGCTGGTTATTAATGATGACATTAACTAAAACTAATATAATGATAAATATTTTTAAAATAAATAAAACAGACTTCAGAAACACTATGATGAGACTGGACTAACATGGTTTTCAACTATTTTTAACCGACTTCAAAACCCAAAAGGAGGAGGTTTTATGTTTGACGGCGATGTATTTTTTTAATGTTGACCGTTTTTCAAAATAATTTTTATTCGACAGCTTAATGGATCGAGGTAGTCCTGTTAAAATTTAATCATAATCGTATCAGTAGTTTCCCTTTTATAACAAAACAAAATATGCTTTACACCAAATATTTAGTTAATATGGTAAGACATGGCCCCTTCCAGCTTAAAGAAAACAAAAGATTGCATATTTGGAATTCATTCAAAATCCGAATGGTGAATTTTCTATGTTCAAGGAGTATTTATTTATTCTTTATTGCCTAACTAAGGACAAATGGCGGACTTAATGCCATAGAGGCATTCTCTCCCAGTCAACCAGTTAGATTGTACAGAACAGTAGGAGGCGGTAAAGATTAAAAACTATACATAAAATCGTAACTATAAGCATATATTAGCATATATACATACAATACATTAATATACATACATTATATATACATATACATTATAAGATATAACGAGTACTGAAATGGTGGTGTCTGATTATGAAATGGAAGTAGACAGGAAATAGTGGTTACGAGCTGCAGACTTAAATGCGAGCTTGTTTGGGGCGTTACGAACGTCAAATGGTAATGCATTCCATAGTCGGATGGCAGTCAGAGCGAAAGAGCTGGATACCTAGCTGGAATGGTGAGTAGGTGTTTGAAGGATCAGATTACCACTGGAGCGAAGATTTTTCTGGTGGGAGGCCCCGAAGAAGTGAAACCTAGATTTCAAATACTCAGGAGTATGTGGATCGAAAAGAATGTTGAAGAGGGTGCATACGATCCTTAGGTTTCTGCGCTCAGTATGTATATTTTTTATAAAAGTAGGTATAAATTTTCTTGAATTTGATAGGTAGCTTTTGAGATAAGAATTGTTTATAATTTTTTTAAGATTGAAGTTGGTTCTATTTAAAAAATGGTTTTATTAAGAGGATCAAAGACATTAGACAGACGTATTGTAAGTTGAAACGACTAAATTTATTTCAACTTTACTTACTGAACGCGAAATTGTACAAATGGCGGACTTAATGCCATTAGGCAAATGCTAATGAAAAGCAATTACTTATTATACATTTTCTTATCTGCTTTCCATAGGTCAGAAAACCAAGTCGACCTTTGTCTGGATGATATTAAATTACATACAAACATGACTAAGGAAGTATTAGTGACTGTATACGTGATAACTGATAGCAAATACTAGGTATATTTTTTTATTCAAGTAATATTGACTCATTTATTTTTGCATGCAAACAAAAGCTAAAGTAAAAAAAATAATACAAGATATAAACATAATTATCTAATAGGTAGTTACCAATATTCTTAATAATTTCAAAGAGACTATTCGGTCTCTTATATAAATTTAACTCGTGTGCGTAACATTGGGTCTATGATTGCTTGCAGTTGTTTGCTCTGAGATAATTAAACTACTCTAACACCCGTAATTTATAACCCTATTAGAGGACGCCATAAGCAGGGCGATTCTGTAAAATTCACTCATAATATGTCCGAATTTACGTCATTTAGTGAAGTAATTCTATTGATTCCATTTACATAAAATATAAAACAAAATTGATTGATTATACCTATTTCAGGTATTCCTATACCATCGCGAACCTCACTTTACTGATGCCACGAAACGATATCACTAATTTAAGATTGAGCGGATGCCACTTTTTGAAATGAATTCGAATTCGGCTTTTGATTTTTATAGAATCGCAGGGCAGCCCCGGATCGACAAGTCCTCTCCCCCGCCCCGCCTACAGGCTATACTTATGACAACCTCCCCTTAGTCCGCCACTGTCTATTGGTTTAAAATATTTGCATAAGTTATATTGACAAAAGTAAAAAAAATCTCAATTAATTATTCTCAATAACTTCAGGTTTTTATCTACTTTTTACAAGGCATGAAGCCCTAATTTTCATCACTGTTATCAACTGATCATTAAAAAACTTAAATCAAAAACTTAAACCTGTTTAAGAGTCGTTTAAATACAGTTTGAAAATACTCAATTCAGAAACCGGGTGTATGTGTTTGATGGTGTCGCAACTTGTAACCGTGTAATTCACCTGAACCAGCTGAAGATACAAAATGCAATAGTGAGATCGTTTGTCGTTTCGAACACCTACGGTTATCATTCATACGGTATCATTATAATGGTAGATGATACCTTTTATACTGAATTCTATCACTTGTCTTTATTTAAGGAAATAGTTTTGTTCTATTTTTCTGCATAAGTTATAATTATAATATTTCTTTGTTTTATGTAGTCGAGTTATGCGTGATTTCTGGTCCTTCGAGCCAGATCCAACTCGTAGGTCAATCAGTAGCTCGTGTATGTATCCTGTTAACTATGTCCGACAAGACAAGAAATCTAATGATAAAAGTTTTATATTTTCTAAATAACTATGTAGGCTGCAACTGATACGAATTTCGTAATGAATGATAAGAAGAGATAATGGACACCTAATCCGTTCCTAGGCGTCGTTGACCGATCCAAGATAAAAATACAGAAAGAATTACCTACATACTTTGGAATATAAATTTATAGGAATTTATTTCTATGATAGCCTCAATATTTCGAATATGTGTGCTAGGAGGACTATTTATATATTCGTATTTATGTATCATAAGCAAGTCAGTTTAACAGATAAAAGAGTAACAGTTAAAACTTGAGGTGATAATTTACTTACCAAAGTATTTTTTACATGTGCCTTATAAAAAAATATTTTGGTAAGTACATCTAAAAAGGAAAAATAAGGTACGAAACCCTATGAAACTAACACACAAGAGGAACAAAATTAATAACAACAAATACTAAAAAGTCAGAATCGTCTAGGAATCGCATACCACAAACGTGACTTTTGTGTTTTTCATAGATAATGGAAGTCCTACGGAAGTCTGCTCGCACTTTTTTAAATTGTATCATGTTGATCACGTTTAAGATTCCACTTTAATAGTATGATTCTTATTCACATTAACTATAAAACGCAAGATACTTTTCAAATAAGCAAAAGAAGAAAATATCTATACAAAAGGCGGCTTTATGTATACGCAGTAAACCACCAGACAACCCACGTCGAAAATAAAGAACGAAGGGGATAGGTGCAATTTGATATAATAAATAACTTAATATATTTCACGATAACATTGACGTTATATGAGGCTATAAATAACACACGGCTAACTATAGGTGGTCATTTACATTGAGAAACCAGTTAGCCTTGTTAAACTTGAATAAGTGTATAATAGATTTTCAATTCCTCTGATAAGTAAACAACTCGCCTATTTACCGAAACATAAAGATTGATAAGAAATGATATTAAATAATTATGTAAGGTACCTTCCGATTTCAACAGGTTTCAAAAGAAATCGCAGAATATTCGTAAATAAAACACTTTCGATTATCATTATGCCGCTTGTTAACAATTGTATAGTGAAAACCAACTACTTAATACACTACACGTCTTAATAACGTGTTTATTTAATTACCATTAAAATAACACACCGTTACCACAAACCACAAACGGCGTGAAAACCATGAGGTACGTTACAAATTAGAAAAAAATACTATGTCAAATCTTGCAGTGGTAGCAATTCTGTTGCACGAAAGTATTAGTCCTGTCAAACTGTGTTTTCAATTGTGAAAATAACTAAGATAACATATCGGTATTGTGTTTACTCTTGTATAAATATAATTTTATATTTTTGATTACATGATGATGTGACTACGTAATGACTTTAAAACAAACTGAAATAAAATTTTTAGTTAAGTTGAGAGATTGTTACAAACAATAGAATCGGCACAAATGGTAGATTGGATTATAATACGAAAAAAGGGTAATTTTTATTTTTATTAAGTTCTACCCACGCGAAATAATTTAATATCAAACTACAGTCACATTATCGTCATTAGAAAAGTACCTGTTTTCGATAAGCGGGATGTTTACATTGAATTATTTAGTAAACTTACCGAAACCAATGTTGAAACAACTTCATTAATTCTTTCATGTCCATAGCAACGGCTTTAAAATGATAGCAGTTCACACATCCATACGCTGCAGTATCACAAACTGTACTAATAGTCTAATCTAACACGCCTATTAAGTCCAGTGAATCACTTATATTGCGATAAGAGAAGCATTTTTATGTTTATTTACATTATCCTTGCTAAATCTTTCATCTTCACTAAAAGTGTGGTACAATTTCTGTCAATACGTTGCGGTAATATAAAAACCATCCTTTGTGTCTCGCAGTCGGGTAAAGTCAAATTGGAGGCAGCCAATATCCCAGCTTCGTTAAATTAAATAGACGTATCAATTTATTAATAACAAGGTCATTTTAAAAATAGGAACGAATCTCCAAACGTCTTGGTTTTTTATTACACCAGTATCAGTAGGTCCCATGGCACTGAGACTTTTTAATTAAACGGTTTTATTTAGCTTCACATTCCGCATAACAATTGTAACCCGTTTCTGATAACAGAATAGAATATTGTTTATTTAGCACCAAATTACAAGTACCTATACCTATAACATTGATAATAAATTCAAAATTAGGTACTAAAAAGGTCTCCGCTCAGCAATATGCCGCAGTGTTTAAGCTACGGCGCTGATTTTCAACGGATACCTTAATAAAAATAAAAATAAAAAATTTAACAACATCACATACATTGCTCAGATTCCAAGATGAGAAGCTAAAGCCCCCGTATTATGGAGTATCTGAGACAACGAAGGTACCACAACACCCAGACCCGAGTCAATATAGAAAAGTTCATTTTCTACATTGACCTGACCGGGAATCGAACCCGGGACCTCAGAGATGGCGACACCTTGAAACCGGCGTGCGAACCACTCGGCTCCTTATCTTATTTTATTTAAAATAAAATAAGTTAAGGAATAATAAATTGACCTTAAAAGTAAGCAGCTGTAATCTTAATGACAATCCATCAGTATCAGCTTATTTACCCTAGACTCAATGGACCGTAGTGGCCGCAGCAAATACTTATAGGACCATAACACCAATTCGTGTTTAACATTCATTTAATTTTAGTAAGATGTATAGTCATCATGATCAGTCTATTAGTCCACTGTTGGGGAAGGCCTTCACTATGGACAAAATCTAATTGAATAACTAGAATGAGCCATGACCACCCCACAATCCAATGTGGATTAGTGAGTGTTAACTGCAGATGCCGGGACCAATGGTGCCTTCCGTAATATATACTTCTTCCTGTTTAAACTAACTGAAAAAATCTTATAAAAAGAATTTATGAAAGAAAGCAAAAAATGATCAAAAAGAAAAATACATTAGTTTAATTTCTTTGACAATTAACTACAAAATAATTATGTAATAATATTTTAATATTCAAAAATCACTATCAATAATAGCTCTGAAGTCTTTTATTCTTTGCTCCGTTTCTTTGATGCTATCTTTGAGATCCTTATGTATTTCATTATATGCCTTTATAGAGTAATTTGTTTCTGTGAATATATTGTGCAGAATTTGAAGATGTAGAATCCTGAAACATATACGTAATTATTTGTACTGTGTACAGTCAACAGCATGTCAGTCAAAACTGTCAAATTTCTTGACTTGATTTTAAACCTTATTACATTGCGCATAGGGGTCAAAATTGGTTAAGGAAATTTGTCATATTTTGTGAGCCTAACGTGCAGCAGTGTGTACAATAATGAGTACTAACATAAATAAAAAAAAGGAAAATTTAGGTTGAGATTACTAATAAATTTACAAATTCAGAATTCTTTTAACTAAAATTGGTAGCATTATCAAAACTTGAATACTGTATAATTTGAAATACACTCTTTTGAATACACCAATTATGGGCTTCTTTGGGATGAATCTTATTTGTTAAGTAAACTTTAAGATTTTTTCATCTTTTATTCAAAATATACTTCATTTCAAACTCTATTGTTTTTAGAATTTTAGCCGATAGTAATTTCTGAATGTTAATAATTTACACTAAGCACTACACTTACTTGGATTTCAAATCGAGGATCCTAGTTTTAAGTGTCAATAATTCACTTGAGTCATCACTGAACCTTGACACATCATGAATTCTATGATTAAGCCATTCCATCATCAACTCGACCTTCTCATTCTCTTGGTCCCCTAATACATTTATTTTTTCATCTAAACTCTGTTGCAGTTCTTTCATTTGATCACTTGCTGTTTTGTTGTGTATGCCAGTAGTCTTTTGTTTTAAATTTTCCAATTCAGCACTAAAATGTGGAAGTTTAACGTGTATCTTATTTATGATTGCTTGATTCAGCTCAGTTTGTTCATCAAATGTTAATTCAGATGCAGTTTGATTCATGAAACCTGAAATTATTGATATCAATTTTAGATAGTGGTGAAATTGGTAATTTGAAAGTTTATTTAACACGTAGGGATTAAAATGTTGTTCTTGTGTAAATGCATACTTAAATTGTTGGTATTATTTAATTATAAATTGATAAAATTAACTTAAAATTTACAAAAGGAATATTAGATATCATAGCACACTGTTAGTACAGTAGATAAACAATATACCTGTAGGTTGAATACAAGTATATAGATTTGAGTTATAATTTTAACCAGTTACGCCAGCTATTTAAAAAAGTTTATATACAAATTTAAAAAGTTTATACACAAATACTAATTTAATGCTAGGAATTTAAAACACATTTAGATATTGCTATTTAAGAAGTGTTTTTCTTATTAAAAAAAAGTACAATCAAGAAGAAAAACATAACCAAAGAAGCAGACTTCTATGAATACTACTGGAAAAATTTGTATACATACTCTACTCCGTATGAATTAATACTTGTAACTGTTTATTGTAAATTAAAAAATCCATAAAACAAATACAAATTTAAAAAAATTATACCCATGAAAACACTGCCAAAACAGACACTAAGAGTATAAGTATGAAAGATGTCAATAAAACAAGAATAATGATATCTAACTATTGATTACGAAATAAAAAGACATAAATAAGCTAAGAACTAACAGTCGTGGCAGTGATGTTAAACAATGGCAGGACATCTTTAAAGTCACATGACACATACAAAAAAGCATGATTTATAATTTTATAATAATTATGCAATTTTGGGACTCACAATCTCTGTTTATAACTATGCAAATTTGTGATTTATTTTTCACTACTGAAACTACCCTATTGTTCAGTACTGAAACATTATGTGCTAAGTTTTTGTGACAACACAAGTAGATCATTTGTAGAGTCCCAAAGACTCACAATCTCTGTTTATAACTATGCAAATTTGTGATTTATTTTTCACTACTGAAACTACCCTATTGTTCAGTACTGAAACATTATGTGCTAAGTTTTTGTGACAACACAAGTAGATCATTTGTAGAGACAGTCATGCATGCATATATAAAAATAGTTTGACACAATTTTTGTTTCGGACAGTTGGTCTAGGAGTATACAAAGAAGTCTGGCTAAAAGCAATAAAATTATAGTTCTCTTTTACATTTTCTTTACAAAAGTAAACCATTCAAAAATATATATTTGTAAATATTCAAATGGTTACTAGGGTTAACATTACCCAATACAGTTGATGTACTTTCATCAGCAGTGCTTAATTTGTGTAAGCTGGTATGATGTGTCAAGTCACAATCGGCTATGATTCTGTTAACTTTGCCTTTCAGCTTCGAAGATAGTTTACTGCTGGGTTCGTTGCATAAATCTTTGATGATATCAAGAAGTAAATTCTCTTGCACTATTTTTACTTCAGTAAACATATCATCAGTGCTAGTTATAGAATCCATTGCACTGAAAACGAAATTATTTATGTCATTAACGGTCAGTTGCACAAACATCCATTTAGGTTTAATGAGGTCTTTAAATTCTAATGAATGTCAAATTTGTATAGGTAATGTTGCTTTAAACTAATGATAATTTTAATGGATGTTTATGCCGCTGGCTGTAAAAGCAACAGTACCGATACAAATTTCACATTCATTAGAGCTAAAAGGCGTCATCGAACTTTAATTGACGTTTGTGCAGCAACCGTGTTACTAAATGATAATTTGTTAGTATTGAATAAAGCCAAATATTCAATTCAACAACCTACAAAACTTGCCTACCTGTGTGTGACAAAATATCTAATATATTAAATTAAATTCGTTGTAGAAGTAAGCCCCTAGCGTAGGTGTATTATTTAAAAACACAGAACACATTTACTTGTTTAAAAATCTGATTTACAAAATTATAACAGAGAGATCCATAATAAACAAAACGAAACAAAAAACAAACTAAATTTTTTTTTTCTTCGTTTTGAGGCAAAGATCCGATGACCATGCAGACTTAAAATTATCATTTAACGTGTTTGCTCACTACCCTAATTGATAGTAAGGTAGTGAGCAAATGCTAAAAATATCGATATGTTGATATATCGATATTTTATATTTAATAAACTATTATACAAATATTCGAAATTTGAAAGTAAATACACCTCTAGCTGTATGTTTGACGCAAATGAACTGAACCCCTACAATCTACCTACTCTTTTTCTAAAAGATCAGATTGGTAGAATACGTGATGTGACTCAAAAACAGACAGCAGATGCGATTCCGTAAAAATCCGAACTTAACTTCAAATTTACTAATAGTGATTTGCAATTCAGGCCATAATCGGTTCCTTCGCAGACTCCAATCTCTTACAAAGGTAACTCTGGTAAATGAAACTCTGTACTACTACCTATTTACTACCTTTGTGATGAGAAAATAAATAAATAAATATAAAAAGTATATACTAACCTCCTTTCTAAACTACTTAAGAAGTATGTGTAATAAGAATCTTGTTATTAAATATGGCATCATGATAAAATATAGTTCACTTCAAGTTCTTTTGTCTTCTTATTTTATAAGTACAATTAGTTCACTAAGCTATAGAATTAAAAACTGAGATACCATTTGTATTGATACATGTGTTATGTATACATTTGAAGATAAGTTTTGACATTTTCAACAATAAACATTTCACTTATTTATTAATTTTGTAAGAGAGAAGAAGTTTAGTATACCTATTGTATGCATAAAAGATCGTATTACCAGTGTATAGTTGCAATAAACCATCAAATCAACTAATGTGTCCGAATTCACGTCATTTAGAGAATAAATCCTATTGGTTGCAATTTTTGTATAAAAATACAAAACAAAATTTGTCTCAGATATTTTTGCACTATGTAATTTCGAAACTCATTGCACTTATGCCACAAAACGTTATTACCAATTCCAGCTGCTACTAGAGTGGATGCCGCTTTTGAAATGAATTCGGACACCTGAGTGAATTCGAATTCGGGTTCGGATTTTTGCAGAATCGCTGAGCATATCTTACAAATATATATTTTTTTCCAAGCTTACAGTAGGGATTACGATCTCCATTCGATTTTATCGATCTTATGAATCTTAAATAAATAATACGATCTTATGAACTCGATATTATTTGGATAGATTTACCTCAAGAACGTAGCAAAACGATCTTTACTATTGTTTTTAAATTTGTTTTATTTTTTTAATTAATTTAGAAACAGTTGCATAATCTGGTCGTATGTACAGACTACCTTTACTTGTCTGATTGATGATGATGGAAATATGTCAAACCTTAGAGGCAAAAGTATTTCAAGGAGCCTACAATGAATATTTTCAAATAAAAATGTATGACACGAAAACATGTTCAAATATCACGTTTAATTTTAACAAATAATTTTTAAATTTAATACATACTTTGTTTAATTACCCTATATATTTGTTTTATTTCTTCGCAAAAAGCATTGGAAAATGTTGTAAGAAACTTGAGCGTAAAAGGTTTTTCGAGTATGACACGAAAACATGTACAAATATTACGTTTAATTTTAACAAAAAAATTTTACCTTTAATATATACTTAGTTTTAATAACCTTTATATTTGTTTTTTAATATGTTAGTGTAAAGGAACGGCCAACTAGTAGAGGTGCTTTTTTAGTGCTTCCGTTTTTTTTAGTACTTCCTCATTGTGTTTTTTTTTGTGAAAATATTACTTTATTTAGTGAAAATATCCAATAAGCCATTAGTTTTCAAAACGTGAAGTGAGAAATATTGTTTATAGCAAAAGAATCATATCAATTTTCCATAAATTAATTGACCTGTCACATGTTTTTTAAGTTTTTGTCTGACATGAAATATGTAAAAAATAAGCTATATTATTATATTTTATAAATTTTGCATTTGCAATGCTAAACTGGAAAACATTCTTAATGAAAAATGGTTAAAAAGTCCACTTTGTCCATTCAAAACTAAAACCCGATTACAGCTGAATCACTCTCTAAAAAGTTTGAAACAAGCAATTTATTTTATAGCGATGGCTATATTTTAATAGCCAAAGAACAGCGCAGTGGTTTTTTACTGATGATAACAAATGTCATTTGGTCATTATAATATAATAATTGCTATAAAATAAATTTCTTGTTTTAAACTTTTCAAACTACGTGTCGATTATTACAATAAAAGGAATTTTGGTTAAGGAGAAGATATGAAGATAAATTTTTAGGCGGGGGAAAAATTGGGACAGTGAAAAGAAAAACTAAATTTAATTATTTAGATGTTAAATAATACCTACTTATCTTTTACTAAACATTTAAAATATTAGATTAGCAAATAACCAAAAACATAAAATAATATATATTTTATTTAACTATATTTTTTTATTATATTTATTCGTGTTAGATTCCAGGTGAAATTTTATGTATTCCGTGGAGATAGCTAATTTATATTCAACTTGCCGTGATTGGAATTCGGTCAAAAGTATACTGTTCAATATTATGATGCAGTTGATTTTTTTTTTTATAATAAGAATTTTACAAGTATTAAGTTGTTTTCATCTTTTTCCCCAATGTTGCCTTCCTCAAATTAAAATTTACCGATTTGCTATCTAATTCTGACACTTATTGTAACCGACAATAGTCACATGAAAAAGATCAAGTTTTCATATTTTCCAAATCAATTTTTGATTTAATCCCAATCGATTTTTTTCTATAGATCGGAACTAGTCCATATTACTAAAATGACAGTTGGTTTGTTGCCACTTTATCGTAAAAAATACTATTGTGACGTTTTAGGAAAATGTAATATATACAAAATAATGAAAGCTAAATATCTAGCATGTCTATTAACGTGTAATCAGTTATCCGATTGATTTCGAATTGGGTTCTCTCTATTCTGTACCATCTCTACTACTACAACATTTCAGGACGGGCATTACCTTCAGTGATGAGTTACGCGATAGAAGTTATCGTATCTCGCTTTGAAATATCTTACTGTAATAGCTATTATCGATAGTTCACTATCGATAACTTACCAATACTACACTAGCAACCAATCAATGGTGTGTGTGTTGTTGTTTCTAATCTTATGTATAATTTCAGTTTTTCGGTCACTCTTCTAAATTTATCAGAAATGTATAAGATTTATTGAAATACGTTTTTGTCCTTGCAATAGATTACAAAAGTGATAGTAAATGAATATCATGAGGTACAATGAGTGACTCCGATATTGCATCCAATATAACAAACATGCAGTCTGAATCTCAACAAAAACTCGGAGAGTTCGATAAAAGTAGATCTAATAAGATGATCGGTGAATCTCAGAGTACTTGTTACTGGTATGTAATGTAGATTTCAATTGATAAATGGAGACATTTAGTCTGTCATTTGTTTTTAATCTTTTTATTGTTTTAGCGGGAAAGATCGAAACTTAAACATCGCCGAACTACTTTGTGCATCGTGTAACCGATGGTTTCATGAATCGTGCATTGGATATCAACTAGGAAAACTTGTTCCTTTTATGACAAATTACCTTTTTATATGTAAAAATTGTTCACCTACTGGCCTGGAAACTTTTAAGAAAAATCAAGCACGTAAGAACTCTATTAAATTTAACTACATTCATGCCTATATATAAACAAATAATCTAATTATTTTAAATGATTACAGCTTTTCCTCAGATGTGTCTTACGGCAATAGCAAATCTCAGACAGGAGAGTGTCAAGGATGGCAGTAATAAACTTTTATTCAGCAAAGACCGTGAAATTATACCTTACATTGATCAATACTGGGAGGCTATGACAACAATGCCTAGAAGGTCTGTACCAAGATGCTTAAGATTAAATGAACACAGAATTTTTGGATACATATTTTCATATAAAATTCAAATGAAAATGTTATATTTTATGAAATAAAAAAAATAAATGATAATATTCAAGATATTCTCATGAAAATGAGTTTATACTTTCTTAATTACTGAATGCATTGACAAAGTAAATTATTATGTTTATTTTGAAGAGCTTGTGTCCCCCTACTATTTTAAATGAAAAATTTTGTGAGGATGGATGTATGTTTGTTAATCTTTCACATAAAAACTGCTGAATCTATTTTGATGAAATTTGGTGTATGGATAATTCTAAGCTTGACTTAATTTTTTTAATGGATAATTTTTGTCCCAAGAAAGAGTTCACACAAACATACATACAGGATAATTTTTGTCCCAAGAAAGGATTCACACAAAGGGACACAGGCAATGGCATTAGTTGAAAGCTAGTAATATAACTTAGCTACATCTTATGATGATGTTGATCTTGAACGGCAACATAGGGTTCTTTGAGTGGTGGGAATTATGATAGCCCGAAGGTATTGGAAAGCTTCCAATGATGTCAAATTAATGCTTTTTAGGTTCTTTTGTCAAAATTTTTATCATGTCACCTCTGAACTTTTTTCTGGACACAAAAAAGCACACGATGGCCTAAAAGTAACTTATAATAGCATCTTTAAACATCTAATGAGACTGAAAAGTTATTGCAGTGCTTCTGAAATGTTCATAGAAAGTCGTACCAATTTGTGTAGTGCTATTCATTAAAAGATAATAGCATCCTTTGTGTCCAGGGTCAACAAGTCAATAATGATATAGTAAAGCCAAAAGACTTGTGCAAACTGAAACATAAGAGACAATGGTTGGATATTACCATGTACACTATGTATTTGGAATCACATGTTTCTGTAATTTGTAATTTAATATGAATCATGGGGTCTGAAATAAATATTCATTATTATTATAATTATAACAAAGTTTCAATTTGAGTGTTTTGCAGAGTGACTCAGTCTTGGTATGCAACTGTGCAAAGGGCTCTGATCAAAGACATCCAAGTGTTGTTTACGTATGAAGAGGACTCTTCTCTTGGACCAATGTTTGGATTGTTTAATATGGAGCTTACATCTATAAAACCCAACTATGAGGCCATGATTAAACAGGGTCAGTTAAAGGTCACAGATATGGGAATAGCTACCAGTAAGTTAATTTTATAGCATATTATTCCTCCTCATAGCCTGGACGGATGAACTTTTATGCATGTACCAAAGCTCATCAGTTAATATTAGAGTGCATAGTGGTCCTTGTTCACCCCAAGTAATTGGTATGCCGCACTTCTTTAATAAGTTTTAAGAATGGTATATTTCACACTAATATGTTTATAATGCAGAATGAGAACTGACTTCGACTTGCTATTGAGCTTACCACTAGACCAGTAGGCAGATTGTTTACTATCGAGGGGTCAGAAGCAAGTTGATGCATTGTTCCTATGTTTGCGGCATAGTAGATATTAGATGATTATTTTGTTTTGTCAAAATTGTACAGTATTTGAGATGATTATTTGAACCAGAGTAGATATAAAAACTTTACTTAGTTTATATTATGCTCTGAATGATATGTAATTAATGGATAAATAAATACCCACAGAAGTAGAGCACACCCAAGAATTTGTATTGTAAAAAAATAATAATAACTAAACGTACAGCCAGTTGCACAAACGTCCATTATATTTGTCATTCGTTTTAAAGCGATATTACTTATACATAATTGGCTTAAGTTTTGATTGAATTAAGTTTAATGACGCCTTTAAGCCTTGAAGGCGTCATTAAACTTTAATAGACATTAGTGCAACTGACTGAACATCACATGTGATATGTGACATTGCTCTGATCCCATATAAAGTAGCGAAAGACATTAATCAATGTATAGGTACGAAACAATCATTATTTTTTGACATTAAAACAGGCTCCTTATGGTATCAAATCACAGCTAAAAAACATTCTTTCACTATTTTGAGAAAATATAATATATACAAAATAACACCCTCGTGGTCTAGTATAAAAATACTGACAATTTATGAAAAAACTAGGATGTAGTGTATAAGTGGGCGCAAAACACGGTGGCGAAAACTGAAATAATGCGACATTCATGCACTTTCAGTAATTGTTGTCGCTACTCAAAGATGGGACAAATAAATTTGTAAGGAGGCCCTCTATTAAATTATTAAAATGTCTTGTATTATGGAAATTCGAAATAACTAAGATAACACAACACCTGGAGCCGACACACCCCAGAGATGCCGATATTTTGAAATCGGCGTGCGAACCGAGTGGTCACGGACCAGTAGCCGGAGGTCATATCAACTTATATAAATTATTTTATAAAAATTTATAACAGTTCTAGTGTGCACTTACCGCTTTTTTTATATTATTTTATTGTTATTCCATTTGTGTTGGTGTCCGAAACAGTGACACAAAGAGTAAAGAGTAAATTATATAGACTTTTTTAGATAAATCACTTCTATTATCAGTATCGATAAATAAATAAAAAAACATGACAAAACCAAAAACAACCAATCCAGGCATCCAGCTTCAGCTACTAGATATTACAATAGTAACAGTAACACATATTAGGAACAACTAGACTTTATCCTAGATTTATATGTTTTAATAGATGTCTCTTAACCTGCCGACCCAGTAATGCGTTTCCTGGCGTTAAAAAAGGTGAATAATCTATACATAGTATAAAAGAAATCTCTTCCCGCTGTCTGTATGCTGTGATCTTTTAAACTACACAACTCATTTTAATGTAGTTTTCATTAACATACTGTGATTCAAGAGGACTATTTATATGTATAATAAATGACTTAGCAGTCTAACCAGCTACTTAGCACAAAAAGGGGTTAGTCTCGGAATGAGAGATAACAAGCTAGAAACTTGTATAAACGTCGGGAAGATTAATAAAAGATCTTAAAAACTCATTTTTAATTTTTTAGTGATATATTGAGTTGAAATGCCGCATGACGTCACTTTTGTACATTTGCTATATACATAGTTGTGATGTTGTGAGTGGGTCCTCAACTTTAATGGTTATTATGTAAGCCATTTTTTGTAAAATTAAAACAGAAAAAAATACTTTTCTAATATTATTCTATTATCTGACTAACGGACTAAACAGTTTTTTTTTACCTAGGCGTCATCCCTATTGCATCTTAAGTTATATAAAGTAAAAAATAAATAATTTAAAGAAAAACAAAAATCCCGACTGCGTAAAAGCGAATTAAAAAAATGCGAAAAAGCGATTTTTGTTTTTTTTAATTATTTATTTTATACTTTTTAGTTACGATTCGTTGACTTTGTTATAAGATGGTAAAGGACATCGCCGAAAATGGCCCCAATGCCATTAAATATTAATACTTCAATAATAATTATTAATTTATTTATTGAATTGAAATCAAATATTTATTTGACACGGACAAGCTGCGATCCAAAATTAATATTTAAAAGTACTTTAACAGTAACATTTTTATTCGCAAATATTCACATTCAATATACTTATATTCTATTGAGTCAGATGGATGTAATTTACACGTCAGATCAAATCATCGAACACAAAAACATTAAATTAAATTGACCGAAAATAAACTTAAATTTACCAAAAGCTCCATCTCTTGGTGATTTTCCAACTAAAACATAAGGACATAAAAACTGAATATTATAAAAACAAAATTCATTAACTGTTGATAATTCACTCTTGTTTATTCAGAAAGATTGATATTTATACGACATATCCTAAAAACTACTTTGTTTCTATTACATTACCTTTATATTTCTCGTAAACATATTAACATCATGTCATTTATGTATATAAGGCGCCATCTTTTGATGTAAACCATCAAAAAGCTATAGGTTTTTTAATTTTAAGCTTATCAATAGGTATATTATTTAACTATTAGAATGATTTATTTGTCTATTGATTGACTAAGAAACTTTTACAAATCACAACGAAAAACCGACTTTCTTAAAGTTGAGTTTTTTTGCTTCGACAATATAGACATCAATATCATATCATGTACTTAGAGTGCCATCTCTTGGTGGTTTTCCAAACAAATTATAACCTCAAAATGAATTATATTTTGCGTGATAATAAGTTCTAAAACTCGGTCGCGGTATAATAAATACATAAAGAGAATTAGTTAGTGACACACAATAAAATAAGTATTTTCCTATATTTTTTTGGCTCTGGGGCCACCAATGTATGGACGTTGAGCAATGTCCTTTCGCAATGAAGTTATTTCATTGAGGGATTAATATCGTGGGGATTATTAAGTAACTTGCGGTGGTCTAAACTACTGATGATTAGTCCCTCTAGAGACCTTACTCGGCTCAAAGCTACATATGCTTTATTATTTACCAAAAATATTTGTTCTTCATGCCTTTTCACTGATTTTTTTTGTTTGTATATCGTTTATACTTAAAATAAAAACTAATCAATAAGTAAGAAAATTAGCGAGAATGTTTTGTTTAACAACTTTAAATCGTTATATATCCTAAACTATTAGTTAAAATGAAAAATGATAAAAGGAACCTAAAGATGATTTTAAAATACCCATTCAACGATACCCCACTTGAAATAGTTCATCGATTTTTATTTTTTTCATTTAGACAATATGGCGTCTGGTTGTTGCTGTGGTGAATTTTTATTACTGTCATGTCTTTAGTGACACTCGCAAGGTTAAGACGAATCGATTGACGTAAGAATCATCAAAATCGGCCTACGCATTTGGTCTCTAGAACGCATCATAGAAACAAACATACATACATAGACTGATAAACACATTACCCTCCTTTGCGTTGCGAAGTCGGGTATAAAAGGATTCTGCTGCTGCAGTTTGGCAATCATTATGGCAATTTCGACCTCCGACACGGCGGCAATATATATCGATCGAGTGTTCTTTCTGAACCATTGGCGTAAATTCTTAAGCTATGGTACTTCTCCTGCCCACACTTCGCTTGCCCTGGATCTTTCCTTGGATGATCAATTATAATAACTTCTACTTTTAGCTTCACAAGATGTGACCCGGATATTCGAGTTTACGCTTCTTTATAGCTGTTAGAACTTCCAACGATTTACTCATTCTTCAGTGTTAGTTAATGTTTAAACTAATAAAATGCAGAAAGTTAATGAAGAAAATACTTTTCTATATTGTGTCGGGTTTGGGTTGTGGTGCCTTTGTTTATATGAGATGTTTATATGAGAGGGTTTAACTACTTATCTGAGAAATGTATGTGATATTGTCTAATATTTATTATTAGCTGTTTTCCGCGACTTTACCCGCGTAAAATATTGCTCGAGCCATGAGCGTATGATGTAGAATCCCGTATGTGATTTTTTTAAATCGGTCTAGTATTTCTGATCCTATTCGTTCCAAACAAACAATCAATTATTTTCTTTTTATAATATTTGTATAGATTTTAACTTTCTAAACGAAGTATTACCGCCTAATACAAGCGTCACAAAAATCGATTTATTAATGCTTATAGTAGAGGATTAAAAGATTTTTTGCGTGCATGAACTCTCTCCAACTATCTCAAAGACGGTCAATTTTTTAAAATAAAACGTAATTTTTTGAGACAGTTGGGGAGTACATAATTTTTTTACCCATAAATTGTCAAATAATAAATTCTACTTTACTGTTTGGCATTTACTCTTTGCCATTTGGCTTCTTATCTTTGAAGGGTTGTCTAATTCGTGAAAATAAAATCTTTTAATTATTACCAATAATGATTTTAGGCGATTTGTCTTATTACACGAGTAAGTAATTTTAGTTTTTTTAAAGAGAAGATTTATTGAGTAGACACAAAAATTGCTTAGCTGAAAACCATTTGCATGCTCTCAGCCATGTATTTTCAGCCGTGGTGTTAGAAGGGTATTAATTAGATTTATTTCAATCAAAACTCATTCTTTTTATAAAATATAGACAGATTATTTCATTTAATAACCTTTTAGGTAAGGACAGACGTTTCTATTTTAACCACCACTTTTTGTTATATTTAGGTTCGCGTCGTAAACTCCCAATTAAACATAAAACCTCTTCAAATTATTGTAGGGAAACTAGGTAAAACCATGGTTTACAATTATTACAGTCTACAGTCATCAGTGGGTTCTATGGATTAAACAGATTAAAGGTTTAAAGCTGTCACGGCAGAATATATTGATATACTTGATAAAATGTTACTGAAAAATACCCGTTTGAAGAATAAATAGGTTCTTGAATGATTGAATCAGCCCGTAGTGATTTTACATGTAATGAAAATCTGCTTATTAGACCTATTCTATCATAAGTAGATTTTCTTAAGACACAATAAACCCCTATTTTACGAAAGTAAGGTATATTTATGGATCTAAATAACTAGCTAAGATCTAGAATATTACTAACAAAAGAATATTAGTATTACAAACAAAAACCACAGTAGTTTTAAAAGTATTCTGAAATCTTTTTTTGAGCAAAATCCTCTCTATTCCTTGAATGAATTTTTGACGATGCGTATAAGCGAATCTACTTTTATGACATGATGTAATTAGATACTGTAAGTTTTTTTTTCTCTTGACATTAAGATTTAATTGAACTATGAATTGTGAACTGACATACCTTGTATAACAATATTGTTATAAATGGTTAATAAATAAATTGAAATTGAAATAGAATAAATAATTATATTTAAAAGGAAAAGTAAATTTTAATTTCTATATCATACCTGTATCTTTTGTTCCGCAAATTTCTTGACCCACCTTCCTACAAACAAAATAATATTAAGATAGAAATCTAAAACAAAATCTTTAAGCTTGGGAGCTATGAATGCCTCATATGGACTAGAGATATATATTAAACTTAAACATTACCCTATTTGGTTTGAGTTCAAAAAGTACACCGGTTTTAAAATATTTTTTCCAAATATATTGTACATGCTCCGATTTATTATTTTTTCATGTTCATTGTTGGCTTTTTGCCGAAATCTATAAAGTATCTAACACGTACCTATGTAGTACCATGGTGCACATACCTAAAATTATTAACAACAGACATACTGTACTGTATAATGACATTGTTTCCCGACACAGTGGTGTTTGTAAACATGCCGACCGACGGACGCACACCATCACATGCGAACAGTATTCGTCGTACTAGTGTGCCCATGTCTTTCGATTAAAGTCTCACATAAGCATCGCTGCTTTGCCGTGCGATTTCTCCTGTATATATTGATTTTAGATTTGAATTGTTCACTATATCACCTTGAACTTAATGGCTGGTGAGTCTAATATTATTTATTTTAAACTCCGATTTTATTGTTTCACACGCTTTTCACCGAAGTTGTGTTATCATAACTGTTATCAACGTCGTCATTTGCCTTGAATATAGTTTACACATGTTCAAGAATTTTAATTGAACAGTGTTAGTTGTTATTGTCTAATATGGTTTGAAGGACTTGTCACTGGAAAATTGATTGATTTTTTCTATAATTCCTAAGCAAAATACGTTGTCTTACATGTTGGATAGTATAAACATTATCGATATTATGTGTTTTTAAGTTGAATCGTCTTTTTTATCTTATCAGTAACAACTAAAAGTCAGTCATTGAAATGACTATTGGTGTAGCTCTATCGACATGGATTGTAAGTGTTAGGCTATTATTGTTTGGTTTATTTGATTATTAACTATAATATTAATTTAAATAAATATATTTTTAGACATTTTACGTAGATTTTCCTGCATAATTAAGTATATATTTAAATGACAAAGATAGTTTTGCAAAGTTTTTATAATAGACACCTCAAGGATCAATCGATCTAACATTTGGTAGCGCAAATCTAAATTGATGGCTTTTATAAATAATCAAAACTATTTTATCCGACCACAAAAATAAGTCTTACTCTTATTGAGTTGACGATAGAGTCTGTTTTTGTTCAGTCGTGCATGTTTGTTATGCTCTTTTTGAACGAGGTTCAGTCTGTCGCGAGCCTTTTGCATAAATAATTGTTTCCTCTGTCGTACCAAGCACTCGATGTTATCGGTACTTGGGTGCACTACTTCACATTTTGCCCTTTTAGTCTAACTATTCATATACAGTATGGCTACGACATGTACACTTGGTAATGTCCAACAGCAGTTTTTCTATTTGACCTATGAAAATAATATCTTTTTTTTTTAAGTATTCGAGTGAGCTCGTAACACGGTCTTTGCATAGCGATCGCGCGCGTAGACTGAGGAGAGTTACGTAATGCTAATTACGACGTATTTGACCTCAATATTGTGGAGCCAGTGAATGGAGATGAGGTGGACTAAAAAATATATTTTCGCTATAGTCTTATTTAATTTACAATACGGGTTTCCGCAACATTACTTAAAAGTTAATTTAATAATTGTTTGTGTGGCTAATGTAGAAATGTAATGTTCTGTTTAGAAGACAACGGCCAGGAAGTTCTTAGTTATTTTTAACACGTATAGTAATCGTGTATCTATTTTAACTGTTAATAATACGCCATTTGAGTGCCTTAATAGGTCCTGATTAATACTGCACCAGTGTCGTACTGCGTTAACATAGTAGCAGTATCTATTATCTGGTGGTCCCTTTGGCCCCCACTTCGAGTTATAATTAAATGACCAACTCCAATAAACTTTTCTACATTAACACCAACGGTCTAAGGATTGTATCCTATTGCAGCCATTTTACAGTTTTGGTTAACCAGTGTACTGTTGAAGGTATATTATTGAGACTGTTCGCACTTTTGCACATTAGATTTTAGAAGCAGCAACAAAGGTTTTTTGTTATACTTGCATAACTGTTGCGATCAAAATTAATATAAAACTGAATGTACTTCACTCCATGCGTAAGTAAATAATATTTTTGGGCAAATAGGATGATTACAAATATAATTCAGCTTTTTAATGTATCCTTTGTTTTTATCTAGTCAGGGGCGTCCTCGTTGTTTAATAATAATCATACGAACGATTATTCAAGTTACCGTCCCTCGCGTTGCCATGATCGCGCGATGATGCGTGACCAATTAGGACACTCCTAAATATTTAGCTTTTATTGCAGGATTGCACGATCTAACTTTAATAGTAAGATCGGCAAGTAAATCAGTAAAGGCTCCAGGTGCCAGTTAAGTCTATTTAACTAGTATTCAGACTCCTGGAGTACGTAGTTTAACACAATGATACGGTTGGTATCAGACGGTCTCGGTCGCGTAACGTGCGAACAGTTGTTAAATCAAATATTCAACCTTGCACACTCAATCGATTATCATGTACATACAGCACGACAGGTTATCATTTTGACAAATTTTCGCAAATGATTTTCAAATCTACCTTAAAAGCATTTAAATTCAAAATTAAGTAATGAAACTTGATAGATTTGTATAACCTGACGTGGTGTTGACTGTACATACATATAATATATTTGTATACGTATATATATTACATTGTAGGTGTGTTAAATAATATTGTGCATTTCATCTGCTACAAATTACTGTTCTAAACGGATTCGTGCGTTTAATTTCGCACGATTAAATCGCTCGTGCGATCGTAGCCACTTAATAGTCGTTGTGGTATAATAAAACGTATTTGAATATTGGTGCAAGTAATGAATTTATCCATTTAGTACCTCTGGCGGGTAATGTAAAGGGTCGTCAAGGCAAACGTAGGCCAGCTGTGGGGGCTGGCGCGGATGGTGGAGCGCCAGCGGGTAAAAAAGGGCGCGGAGCGGAACTGTCTGCGCTCAAACTACCCTCTCACGGATACCCAACAGAACATCCCTTCAACAAGGATGGTTATCGATACATACTCGCTGAGCCGGACCCCCACGCACCATTTAGACAGGTCAGTGAGATAATCTTACTTATATTTTGTATAATACTTGTCTACGTACGCGTATTTTCAAACACAAGTCAGCATTATCTCCATAGTCCACTGGCGTTAAAACTAGGTGAATGTTGCCTTACATATTTTTATTCTCTATTTGTCCATTTTTTAGTTTAAGTGTGAGCATAAATGTACGTAGCTTGGTGGCGTAGTGGATTAGCGAAGCGAGCTGCGATTGTTGTAGTGAAGCAACTTTTGTAAGGGTCGGTCACAGGATGAGTGACCAAAAATTATTACCTCGGGTTACTCCGTGCTTCGGAAGGCACGTTAATCCGTTGGTCCTGGCTGCATTTGCTGTCGCTAATACCCTCCACACTGGGCCAGGCTGGAAGGTTTTGGCCCATTCTCCTTAACCATCCATAAGAAAGGCCTGAGCTCCTGCAGTGGGGCTGATGATGATGAAAAATAAATGTAATAACACTACCGTAGCACCAGCAGACTATAGAAAAATACGTAAAATAAGATTTATCATATAAAGAGGCGAATTATGTCGTACTTAACATGATCACGTATTGTTTCCACCGTTTTTGGTTTTGTATCGACGTAATGTATAAAAAAGAACAATTACTATGCCAGGAATTCGACGAGAGTAACGAATGGAGTGGAAAACCTATACCGGGATGGCTGTACCGTTCGCTTTGTCCGGGGATAGTGCTGTTGGCGTTGCACGACCGTGCGCCACAACTGAAGATATCTGAAGATAGACTCGCCGTTACTGGCGAGAAGGGTTACTGTATGGTCCGGGCCACACATGGTAAGATTTTTTATCAATAATTATATAGGAATAGGGTCTTCTACTCTCTTTGAAATAGATGAAAAATAAACACGTTTTATTGCCATAAAATTAAAATTTCAACTGTTTTTATTAGCTAAGAACAGCACCATCTAGGAATTAGATTTATAATTAATAGGCATAATATCTTTGTTTAATCTGACAGCTGTCGCTACAGTGGCGTTACACAATGGCGGGTCGTGTTTCACGTGATACACAGACAAATAATCAACGATCACTTTTAATTTTAAGATAAACGTGCGAATTTATGATTTAAAATCAGAATATCTGTATATCATGATGATGCATATCATGATTTTAATTTCTGTGGTTTTAAATAGTTGTTGTGGTTTTTATTTAAGACCAAATGAAATTCTAAAAGTGGTTTTCAAAATTTATGAAGTATGTTTGTCGTTATAATATTTGCTAGTCTGATGATCAATATCAGATCCCTGATGTGGTTTTCCTTGGCAATAAAAAATTATAGGTTTTTGGACCATTTGTCACAATTAAGAAATTTTTACTTGAGAAAATGTGAGAAAACTTAAGCAAATATTTTTAACTAATAAAAGTCTATTTTAATGAAATAAGAACTGTCAATAGCTAAAAATAATCGTATTCTTACTATAGTAGTTCTTAGTTCATTCAAATTTTTGTTTATTGATTAAAAATATTAGCTTAAATAATTTCTTTACACGACCATAACAGGTTTTAGTGTTTTGTAAAAGTACCATTAGATTTTTCCGAACTTTCATTATTTCATGGTACACACGGCTGCATGTCAAGCTACCTTTCTTTAATGGATTTTTACCTCTAGCATCATTATATTTAGGTTTAAAATCGAGTGGGGAAACTTGTCTGTTTTGACTGTTAATGTATTGATATGGACGTCTAGGGGTATCGCTTGGGTGTTGGTACTGGGAGGCGTGTGTTGAAGAGATGCCGGAGGGTGCCGCCACTCGGCTGGGGTGGGGCCGGAGGTACGCCAACTTGCAGGCGCCTCTCGGTTACGACAAGTTCGGCTACTCCTGGCGCAGTCGCAAGGGCACTAGGTACGTAGAGATTTATATACTTACTAGCTTTCGCCAGCGGCTTCGCCCGCGTGGACCCTAGGGAAATGTTAAGTGGGATAAAAAGTATCCTATTATCTAAGTCAGCTAATACCCTATCTGTATACCAAATTTCATCAAAATCCGTTCAGTAGTTTCGGCGTGATTGACCGACAAAAATACAAACATCTAAACATCCAAACAAAGAAACTTTCACATTTATAATATTAATAGGATACATTTTTTTTTATTCTACACATTTTAGCGAATTTATAATAAGTCCTATCTTTGTGTTTATTTCGTGGATTTAGGCATCTAAATGAAAACATGGAACAACAAAGATCCGCATAATTTGTAACGTCTATGAGGTCATAGGTGTAAATCAAAAAAAAAGTAATGGAGCTAGAATACTAGATTGTAAATTAATGAAGCGAAATCCGCAGGGGCACGCAACACTATAAGCATGTCTCAGGGATCAATGGTCCTAATGGCCATTGCTTTTTCTTAATGATCTTCCCAACTTTACGATGAATTTGGGCGAGTCAGACAGTATTATTGGTAGATGACAAGCTAAGAGGGGCAATGATTGTTTTGACGATGTAAATAGTGCTTTGTCCAATGTTCTTTGTTAGTTTGATGATAATAATTTGAAGCTTCATTCAAATAAAACGAAAATGTGGATGGATGTTATTTGGTTTGCTTTTTTTGAACAATTAACAAAGAGATATTGTGTTAATTATATAATAAGTGTATTGATTGATATTTTTATCCATAGGTTTCACGAGTCTCGTGGTAAACATTACAGCTCTGGTTATGGCGAAGGGGATACCCTTGGGTTCCTCATAGTGCTTCCTTCCAGCGCACATACAAAGTATACGCCTAACACATACAAAGACAGGGTACGTATATACTTACTAGTTCGAATTTACATGACACCTATTCTATTCCTCAGCGTAAAAATTAATTTTTACAATGATGGGGAAAAATATATTGTTTTGGAAAATGTGATATGCTTTAACTGTATGATAATTTTAAGAGTTTAGTTGAACGTTTTCGGAAATTAGTAAATATTTATTATAGATTGTGTTCCAAGAATTGCCTCAATATAAAAAATAAAATTTTAGAAGGTCTGATTTTATTTCACCAGCCCCTGGTCAAATTCAAGAGTCATCTTTACTATGAAGATAAGGACAATATCCAAGAATCTCTCAACAATCTGAAGCCACTGCCCGGCAGTAAGATATACTATTTCAAGAACGGCGAGTGTCAAGGGGAGGCGTTCATAGATATATATCAGGGTTGCTACTATCCATCCGTGTCTCTACATAAGAATGTAACGGTCAGCGTAAATTTTGGACCCAATTTCAAGTATCCACCATCCAATGAGTATAATTACAGACCGGTAAGTAATACATAGATATTCAAAGCGTAATAATAATTTTCAGTTTTTGGTTTATTGGGTTAGGTGAATTTACGGATCGGATTACGGAATCCACTTCGCAACGGGCCGTGCAGCAGAAATCGTAATATTTTAATTTCGCCATAACTTCAAAAAGGAACGTCCAATTTTTTATCATTCAAAGACCAAATATTATCTACATAAACTGTATTTAGTGATGAAATAATTTATTTTGATAAGGATGAACAGCATGATAGTAACTGGAACTTAGTGATAGTAATTGGAACTTTGTAAAATAAGCGCGTTTAAATGTAGTAAAAAAAAAATACAAGATTTTTAAATAAAAAAATGGTTGTTGTGCCCCACTCGAGATAGATAGTATGGTGTGTCGCGACCTTTTTTGTAGATATTTATAAGATTACATTAATTAGAACATTTTATGGTTCTATCTTTTATAGTTTATGCAGCGTACGCAAAATAAGTAACTTTTCTGGTTGATTTTTTACACCTTGTGAAAAACCCAAATATCTTACGGAACCCTATTTTTTATCCAAAATAAAATATAGCCTATGTTACTCGTGGATGATGTAGCTTTTGAATGGTGAAAGAATTTTTATAATCGGTCCAGTAGTTTTTGAGCCTATTCATTACAATCAAACATACAAAGTTTTCCTCTTTATAATATTAGTGTAGATAAAAACCTGGAATATTAGTGTAGATAATAAGGCGGCTAGAGTGCGGTTATTAATACTTCCTAACCGGTACTAAAAAGTGGTATGTTTATTCTGCTGGTGATTTTATGTCAATTTCAGTGACGTTTTCAAATCATGTGTTAGGTTTCTGTGGTCTCGTCCCTAAAATATAAGTTCATTACGTAACGAAAAATTGCCTAGTAACGCAGTTTTGGTGACAAGTCTTTGAGGCGTTGATGGTCAGTACTTATAAAAAATTCTAAACTTTCTGGGTCATCTTTTAGTTCATTATTTATCAGACAGCTGTGATAGATAGCTAAAGAAAATGCTTTTAAAGATACCTATGAAATAATGTGGCGCCGCTGAGCTGACGTCGGCAGCGCCACGCTATATCTTATAAACTATAACACTTTAGAAGCTTATTCTTTTAAAATATTAAGCCATTTTAGCATGAGTTCGTAAAGCATTGAAACTTTGAATATCCTGCTAAAATTCACACACTATTTACTGCATTTCATTGTATATGTACTATACTATGAAATGCAGTAAATTACGCAAACTATCTCAAAAACCACAAAGTATTTTACCGTATTTCATATTAGTAAATACTGCTATGATATGGTCATACCTAGAATGTAAATAACTATGAATTAAAGCCAAATACGTAACGCCTGCCGTACACATTTGACTTTGATCCAGTTGGATCATTTATTTCAACGCCCACATATTTCGAAGTTTCGTCTGCCCTGTTAAGAATCTATTTAATTACTTAGCTGCAACCAACTTCGCGTTAAATACGTACCACCTTTTTTTTATTGTAAGATACGAATAATAAATTAGGATTTTGTATTTAGATCATATTTTATTTCTGATCATAGTAACTAATTGCATTCTGTCTCTATGTACATTTCAGATGTCAGAAAAAGCTGAAGAAGCTATTTGTGAGCAAACCATGGCCGATTTACTGTACTTGACTGAGAATGAGGGCAAATTGAGATTGGACAATTTCAATCTCTGATACAACTAACACCGTTGACATATAACGGTGTGATTGTGAACATTATGTGAATTATTATGTGATAAGTACATATTAAATTTAAGTATGTTGTGCAGTGGTTGATTATGTGATCATGTATGGTATATTATACATTTATTATGATTTGGTTTTTATTTTTCAACACTTATAAATACACAATATCGATTAACATAAATAAATTATAAGCAAGCAATACTAAGTATCTTTATATATATTTGTTGAGTATCAGAACATTATTTGTTGTTAAGCAAATTTCGCAAGGGTCGGTAACAGGAGGGGTGTTCAATTTTTTTTTACCTTAAACTACTCTGCTTCGGAGGGCACGTTAAGCCGTGTCTGAACTTAGCAACCATGCCATCATCATCGTCATCAGCCCGATTACGTCCCCACTGCAGGGACTTAGGCCTTCTTTATGGATGGTTAAGGATGTCCATGTAATAGATATTGTCATTATGCATTATTCAATATTGCAATGCTTTAATTTCACTTTAATTTAATTTCACGTATAGTAGCTCGGTGGCGTAGTTGATAAGCGCCGCGGCCCGCGGTCGTTGTCGTTAAGCAACTTTCGCAAGGGTCGGTCACGGGATGGGTGACCAAAAAATTGTTATTTCGAGCTACTCCGTGCTTCGGAAGGCACGTTAAGCCGTTGGTCCCGGCGCATTTACATAGTCGTTAATATCCTCCAATCCGCATTGGGCCAGCGTGGAGGGTCATGGCCCATCCTTCTTAACCATCCATAAGGAAGGCCTGAGCCCTTGCAGTGGGGACGTAAAAGGTCTGATGATGATGAATTTCACATATGTTTTTGAGGATATCATTACTTCTGTAAAGAAATTATTACTATTCACGGCTGTATTTGCAGCCGTTAATACCCTCCAATCCTCATTGGGCCAGCGTGAAGGGTCATGGGCCCATCCTTCTTAATCATCCGTAAGGAAGGCCTGAGCCCATGCAATGGGGACGTAAAAGGGTTGACGATGAAGCAATACTTCATTTAGTATGCAAAACAATATGTAATAAAAAATGACTACTAGACGGACGAATTAACATCTGGCTTGTCCCGCGCTACCCCGCACTATAGCAGACTTGAAGTGTCTTTTCGCTTTTGAAATTTAGAGTTTATTCTCTTTCTGTTCAGTTGTTATTTGTATTTTTAATGTTTTAATTTTGAGTTTTCCTCAAGATAATTTATCATTTTATCTTAGTAAAGCGAGACCTTATCAAGGCTATAAAACGAGGCCCTATTACTAAGGCTCCACTGTCCACCCGTCTGTTTGGCAGTGATATCTATCTGAGATAGTTCATAGATTTATTTCTGTTGTCGTTGTAATAATAAAAATAAAAAAATATTTAAGAGGGCTTACACACAACAAACTCATCGCGAGACTTATTTTTTTATTAAGCTCGCAATGATAATTCGTTGTACCTGGGTGTACATTATACAAATGTCATTCTAGTAAGGTCTCATGTTAATTAATCGGGATGTTGCTCTCCCTACTTTTATTTGATAACGTAGGCGAAATTGACCATAAGCTGTAAATCGGGCTGTCCAGGCCGCCCAATTTTCTTATGTAAAAAAATATTAAGATATCAGAGTCGTTTTAGTCGAGCCTTCACCCTCCCCCCGTCCCGCAAAAAATGAGATTCACTTATAGCCTACAGTTATAGAATTAAGGTATTATCAGCATGTTGCTAGAAATTACTGTCTACTCTTGGTTCCATCATTCAGTTAGATTATAGGAGGTGCCGAATTTTTCCATTAGTTTCATGGAACTGCGAATGCGAGATGAATGCCACAGATCCAGGGCAATCATCGAGTCCGTTACCAAATATAATTTGAAATACATCCCTTGTACTTTCAGAATTGTATTCAATTTGTAAATTAAACTTGTCACGAGAAGTTATAGGAGCATATTATAGAAAAACAATGATCTGCGTTTCCCATACATTAATAGCAGCTAATAAACATTCAAATGAGATCGTTTGTATTTGGTGACGGAATCATTATGATTGTAGCTTGAACCTAATAGGACAAATTTTGTCTTGCATAAAGAGCATTTGCAGTTCCATGGCACTACATACTTATAGAATCCCTAGTGAACATTGAATTTGGCAATCATGTCATGGTCACCATCATAAGCCCTGTGCGTCCCCATTGCAGATGCTCAGGTCTTATATACGGATGGTTAAGGAGATCCGTGTAATAGATATTAATTGTTTTATCAATGAAGTTGAGAATGATGCTTTATTCAACATTGAACTTTGCTTTAATTTCATGTATGTTTTTAAGAATATCATAACGTTTGTCAATAAATTATTACTATTGACTGACATCAATGTCCTGATGTTCTTCCCATGCTGAGCAGACCTATCTAACCTAACTATAGTGTTTATACAATTCTGAAACATAATGCTAATAAATAAAATTATATTTGTATTAGCTTTCGCCGATACCCCTTAAAACCAGTGTGCAAGCCATTCAGCTATAGAGGTGGTTAATTTGTTGATTTTAAATAATTTTAGGTTCAGTGCAAATCTGGTGGTATTAGTGTGTTATTTTGTTTAAATTGGCTGGTTTTATCTGGATTAGGGCTTCCCTTCCTCCTTTACTGACATCAGTAGATCATTAAACCTCTGGTTCACCCATAAACCCAATATTCTATGGAACACTACATAGTAATACTGATGTCTATGCCAGATTTTTTCCATAACAAAGAGGATTTTGGGGATCTTAGGTATAACTAGATGAAACATATGGAGTTCACATTTAAAAGCATATACTAATATTGATCAATGAAAAATAAGTTTAACTCATTTTCCAAAGCCTCCTCTACAGTTTGGGCTGCTTTCAACAATTTTATCACTTTCCTCCCACTGTTGTGGAGTTTTGGCAACAATAGATAGTGCATGTACTCCTGTCTGTAATTCTTCTTTCAATATATCATTCACTAATCTGTGTCTCTGAAACATAGCAAATATTTATTATACACTGAGACATTCAAATTTACATATATGTATTAAAAATCAGTAATAAATTGTAAAGGTTGTAGGTTATCCATCATTTTTCAAACCTTAAACTGAGTGGCATAGGAAGGCCACAACACACTTCACAATCAAATCAATAATTTGCTCTCAGCAGCCATTAAAACCAGTGAGTATGTATGAAAAGAGTAATGAAAGTGGATGAGTCGAATCATGTATGTAAGGACCGTACATTGTGGTGTTTAGTCCTCCCTGCCTACTCCATTAGGTATGGATATGGTGGAAAGATTCTAGATAAATCAATTAAACAACCACTTGCATTAACTGTAGGTCATTAAGATAATTAAAGTATTTATGATTCTATTACCTGGTATCTGAATTGAGAATTTAAAGTTAAGCATGTCTCAAACTGTACTTAAATGTCAATTTAACAGGTTTGTTTCTGATTTTAGTTTTTTAAATATCAGTTGGACATAGTAATGCAAAACCACATGATGTCAGCTTTGAGAAAAATGGGTTTTTGCCTTTACAACATTTTATGTTGCAAAAAAAATAAGTGTTTCTTGTTTTAGTTAAATTTTATTGCAGTATTGTAGATTTTATTTTCTTTTATTTATTTATCAAGAAGTTTTACATATAATTTCATTATAAGATTTTTTGTTATAAAAACCTTCCTGGATCGTTGTGGTAAAATTTATTTGATATGGATTGGATTTTTATTACGAAGTGTATTTGTATGAAGGGCAATGATATATTGACAAATGGTATTAATATAATTATAAAAATCAATATAATTATACAAGTACAGTATTATATATAGTACAGTTTTTATATAAATATAGCTGTGATACGCTTAGATTGTATTTTGCTAAATCTAGCAATCAAATCATGAACTTATGATATTAAAATTAACTTCGTGCTACATGAATCTTTCTTTTAAAACATGTATAGTTTAAATATTAACATAGCAGTTATGATTGAACTTTGTGTTTTGCAAAGTTTATATTTTTTTAATTGGTATTTTTTCAGGCTAGTTATTTTTGTAGGTAAAAGTTTTAAACCACTTTGATCTTCATAGAACCTATTGAATGTTCATTTTTAGGCTTCTCTGTATATATATAACTCAATTTTCATAGATTTGTGGGTTGGATCCAGTTTGCAAAACTACATCTAATTGATAGGCACTTTTTAACTAGTGAAATGTAAAATAAGTTATTGAGATTAATCTGTTGAGATTTTGCACTTTTCTCAACTCAGAAACCGGCCGTTTATCTTTACTTAATACACCTTGTATAGAAAGAGAATCAAGCAGTCTTTATTTCTTTTGCTTAATGATCTGATTTTTCATATATGCTGAACTGTATAACAAGATGCAATCAATAAGAAAGATGTATTCAGCTTCTTTTATTGTAGCTTAATTGAATAATTCCTTCCATTTGTTTAATATGAAGACTATATGACAAGAACATTGAAATAGGAAAGAAAGTTTACCTTAATAAGGGGAAGTCCATCAAATTTATTAGATACAACTAAAACTTTGAAATGGGTTTCAGCACCTTTTGGTACATTGTGCATATAAGATTCATTGATTATATTCACAAGAGATGCTTCTAAAGACGTTTCTAATTTGTTTTTGATGATACATTCTACTGGACCCGGCATTGAACTCATGATTCGTATCGTGTAATGAGAACCTGTAAAAGAAATGAATTGAAATAATTATATATTATATACATTTATTAAATTTCACAGAAATGGATAATTAATACCAATGCAAAACATACCTGGCCGTAACGTTTTGCTTAACATTGATGTAAGCACCAGAATAAATTACTAAATTATAAAGAACGATATTATTTACTGGAGCAGATTATATGTATGGTCGATGATTATTTTACGCAATGACACTGCGTCAAGTACGATTTTAAATCGAGAAATTAAGTTTATATTAAATATAACAAACATCTTCTTCTTTTTTTTTAAATTCATGGCCTATTTGCATTTACACAATTCCGCCAATGTCACGTTTGTGGTCTTTACACGTATAGAATCATTAATAAAATATGTAAAATTTTGAATTTAAATAAAATAATAAAAAAAAAATAGCTCTGAGCGCGTCTATCTGATTACATTGTTAAAGATAATACAAATAGAATGTATATAGAAAACAAATATATTTATAAATTAAGACTATTATTGATTGCAAAGAATTTAGATAAAATTTTGAATGGGCTGGGATTCTCCATACTCAAGATACATTTTATATTTGTTGGACGTGGAACTTTTGATGGTAGCAAATCATAAAGCGAAATGGATAAATTTGAACAATTAAATAGAATATGATCCGTAGTTCCTTCCTCGATGCCACAATCGCAGAAGGGGTTATCTTTAATTTTAAATTTGGCAAGTCGAACTGGGGTACACACATGTCCAATTCTCAGGCGACAAATAATTGAAATCGTTTTTTTGTTTAAAAGCTTTTCCTTAAAGAACCAGGGAGTACTGGGGATAGTTCTCTGAATGTCAAAATAATACTTTCCCGCTTATTTCTAGTATTTTCCCAATCAACATTCCATGACCTCATTAAATGTTCATGTGCTAGTACAAAGAGATCGTGATGAAAAAGTTTGGAAGACCTCCAAGTGCCAATTCAAGTTCCCGCAAGGTGAAAGGATTATCTAAATTACCAACAGATGGGATGATGTCATATGTTTTTATAGGAAGATAGTCACAGTTCGGAACAAACGAGGGAGCGAGTTTATCAGCAAATGAGGTAACCCATCCTGATGGATCGTTAGCTGACACAGATTTTGACCTCATAGAACCACGAAATCGATTCATTTGTCTCCAAACCATGCCTGCGGAAGTGCGAGGAGACATGCTTTCGCAAAACCTAGTCCAACCAAGTTTCTTTTTTTGAAATAAAAATTTTTTGGAGTGGACAGCTATTTGTTGGTACTGAGAAAAGTTGTTTTCAGTCATAGACAGATTGTATTTCTTCTCTGCTTCCTTTCTCTTACGGATAATGTCTGTGCATTCGGAATCCCACCATGGTGGAGAATTTCTTTTACGTATCGTTGATTTCGTGGGAATATGAGAATTGGCAGAACTGAGAAGAGTTTCCGTGAAGGCTTCATATGCAGTCAAACAACTTGCATTGGAAATCTCAGGTAATGAATTTAATTTATTTTTAACCTCTAAAGAAAAACATGTCCAATCAGCTTTATTTAAATCAAATTTCAAAAGGGGAGTACTACTGAATGTTGTGAGCGTACGGTCAGGTAAAGTTAAAAGAATGGGAAAGTGATCACTACCAAAGGTACTACTTAAAACATCCCATAAAAAAAGAGAAGATAGACGCGAAGAGCAAATGGATAAGTCAACTGCACTCTGGTTCTGTGATGGGGAGTTTCTCCTTGTAGGTCTACCATTGTTCAAAACACATAAGTCCAGTTCATCTAATAAATCAATAATTAAACTGCCAAACGTATCGGAGTGATAGGAGCCCCATGACTCATGATGAGCATTGAAATCACCCAAAATAAGCACAGGCGGTGGTAAAGCAGAAATAATTACCCGGAGTTCCAATAAAACAGATACATTTGGGTGTGGGATATATAACGAAAGAAAAGAAATATTATTTATTCTAACAGCAACAGCATTAATTAGATCCCTATTATGAACAGGAAGTGGGACTTGAGTAAATAGTAGGGAGTTACTAATAATGAGAGCACTTCCTGCATAACCATCATCTCTGTCATCGCGCAGACATAGATATCCAGGAATATTGAAAGAAATATTCCTAGGAAGCCACGTCTCCGAAATGGCAAAAATAAGGGGAGAGTACTTATATATAAAATATTGGATTTCATGCTTTTTAGAACGAAGACTATTGCTGTTCCACTGAATTATATTCAGAGGAGCCATTTTTGGTTAATAAATTTAAAAGAGGTAAAATTTTCGGAGCTACGTTGGGCGGTAATGGTACGTCACTGAATTTCGACAAAATATTAGCAACAAGCAACCACAGAAGATCAAGACAATCATCATTCGGAACTATATCATTAGTACTCGAATTACCAAGGGCACATCCATTAGGAAGAGTAGGAGGACAATTCCTAATTATGTCCTGGTGAGCCTGCTTGTCATATTCCTTCCCCAGGGCAGAATGTTGTCGAGGAGAGAGGAAAACAGTCTTTTTATAAGAATGAGAAGTCAGAGGTGAGGGTTGAGAACGCACAATTTGAGGTACGGTTGTAGTTGAAGAATTTACTGACTCAGAGTACAACCTTCTTACATTGGGATATAAAGCAGAAGCTTCTTGGAAAGAAATATTATCTTGAGTCATTCTAATTTTGATCGACTTTTGACGACACTGTTCAGGACAGATCTTGTTCGTAGCAAAGTGTTTACCAGAACAGTATAAACACGAAGCAATGTCTTCTGTAACATTACAACTCTCTCCCATATGCGGCTGCGCACAACGATAACATCTCGGTTTAGATCGGCACTGAGATTTAATATGTCCAAAACGGCAACAATTGTTGCATTGGATAATTGGGAGTTGATATGGGATAACGGGAATAGAGGTATAAAAAGAAAAAACTCTTTCAGGGAGATTTTGTCCTTTGAATGTTAAAACAACTGATTGGGTAGGGATCCAAGATGCATGACCATCTAAAACTCGTTTTCTATTGAGGCGTCTGGCTTTTAGAACCATCCCACAGTAATCAGGAATAACTAAAGAGTCGACCAGCTCGTCCATGCATATTTCCGTTGGAATGCCTCTAATGACACCCATGCGTGTAACATTAAAAGTAGGAATTACTACGGTATAATTGTAACGAGCTAATAAAGGATTAATTAAAAAGTTATTAGCATCCTTACCAGTTTTAAATTCTACAGCAATACGGTTGCGACCAATTTTTTTGACACCATCCTTAACTATATTGGTGATTTTGTTTTGCTTTAGGAATTGCCCGAAAATAATTGGTTGAATAGTAGTTCCAGTTGAAGGATTTGACTCAATCTTTGAAACGTGTATAATAAATGGGCCCTTATCAAGATCAGAATAAGACTTATGACCCTCTTTTAATGACGGGTGTGTATATACTGATTGAGTTGTTGATGTTGAAACTATGTTAATTTCATTTTGTTGCAACTTCAAAGAATCAGTAATAACTTTTTTAATAGGCTCACATTGATTTTCGAATTCAATACGTCGTTTTGTGCCGGATTGGCTAAATATTGGTGGTGATAGCTCCATCGGAGATTGAGTCAACTCCAACTCTCCATCAGGAGGATCCGGAGGATCCGGAGGAACCCGGTCCATTGCTTATACAGAAAACAAATTTAAATATTAATTAAGCACTTAAATAAATATACAAACGTAAACAGGTAATAATCCACAGCAACAAAATAGCGAGATAGCACAACAAAGAGCAAGCAAAATGACTAAAATAATCAGAACACAAAAAAGACGTGTATCACTCAACCATAACAAACATCAATTATAGTTCTTCTTCTTCTTCTTCTTCTTTTATTAATGGCTTATCTGCGCATTTCGCACAATTCTGCCAATGTCAAGTAAATAAATTAGTTTCTACATGTAAAATGAAAATGAAATGAATGAAAGATGACGACGGATCTGTAATACTCTGTCCTAATAATTATAGTTCTTAAAATATAGCTTGATCTCTGTGACAGCTGTCACTAGAGCTGTGACACTTACGATATAATCCGTTTTGTCGATAGAACTCTTTATATTTTAAAAACTGATTTTAGATGATTGAAAATAATCAATGAAGATATTATTAACTTTTGATTATTTATTTATTTACAATCGGACTATGAAGATAAAAGAGAATAATGGATCTAGGTTTAAAAACATTCATTCTCATAGGAGGTTAATTTACAATTAGATAAACAATATTTTTGAAAAAGTAACATTTCTCTTTAATGTATACAAAAAAATATATTGTAATATAAGTCCCTTAAATTGATAACTCACTGGAACCTTTTCTAAATAACACCCGCGTGACGTTATTTTGAAAATAGAAACTATAGATAGCACAAAATGCATGAAATAAATTACGTCACACTTACGCCATCAAAATGGCCACCAGGTGCATTAGCAATTTGTGGGGATTATACTAAATATAATATTACAATGTGCACTTATATCTGAACAGTACAATTTAAAAAGTTAATCAAGATGAATTACATTTAAATTAAACAAAAACTGTAAATTGATTGTATTTATTGATCGAAATGAGCACATCTAAGGTCATCATCGTCATCATCATAATCATCATTACACTCCGAATCGCTAGAGCAATCTTGTAGATCGATAATGAATTGTTGCTTACAGATTGAATCGAAATTGCAATCACGATCCCAATCCTCTTCTACCTTTTTTTTTATTTTAGCAACAACATTCTTCCAGTCGTTTGGTGTCACATGTTTACAGGCATTATTTAATAATGTGAGCATCTTATTTGCAGTGAAAGGCGGAGTTGTGTTGTGTCTAGCTGCGTGACCTGAAAATTATAATGAAATATTTACGATTTTAACCAAAATATTGGTATGACTATGTAAACTTGTATATTGACTATGCGTCAATAACATTGAAATAAGAAACAGACTACAATATTACAAATAAAAAACAACAAACCTTTGACTTGAGCCCAGATCAATTCGATCGCATTATATTGGCAATGATACGGTGGCAATCGGATTACAGTATGTCCCACTGCTTTAGCGATCTCATCCAATACGTATACAGGAGTGCGAGGTTTGTGAATATTCACCAATCGGAGCAATTTTTTTTCTAATAGTGTTTCGTTGACCTCTACTCCTTTGTTTTGCAGCCATGAAATAATTTCGTTCTTTCGATTATTGCTTGTCGGAGCCTTATCTCTTTGCATCGAATGGTATGAAGCGTTGGCCA